ATGTACCTTATAAAAAGCTTTTGAAATTTGGCAAACCAGCATTTTTTCATACTAAAATGATCTTATGCTGCATCTTAACAACTTTTAGTATATTACATACTTATCTCTCATGTCAGAGCTACTGATGATAAGAGCTGATAAGAATCCTGATGTTCCAATACATTCAGGTACGTTTACATCAACTTTGGACTATCTCATGTAAGGTCTTTCCGCATTCCTGCATGTCCAACTGTACTAAAGTGGTAAACCACATTTCTTATTAATATAAAGTTTTTTTGCACAATAGGTACTAGAAAAGAACAAAACTGACCAAATAATGCACTCCCCCATGAAAAATAACCAAAGGTATCTGTGTTGAGTAATGCAATACATTTATTTCAATCAACATCAGTTGTTCTAATGATCCTACTACTTTAAAGTTTTTTTCTCAATTTCCAAGGCTTTAAGGCAGTCCTTGTATTTATGAAACCTAAAATCACCAAGCTAAAACCACACAATTAGCTGAGGTTACCAATTTACCAACCACAGTCTAAAAATTACCCATATCACTTCACTTACTAGTGGGTTAGGGGAAGGACTCCATACTGTGCATAACAAAAACTCCCCAACAACATAAAGTACAATGTACTAGTATGTACTAATAACTGTAAAAGGCTCAAAATCCCTCAGACCAAATTGCTAAAATCATTATCATCAAATCATATCTTTTCAGTAAATTAAAAAATTTACTACATGTAGCTGCATAACTACTGGTACGGCCAACTAAAGATTCGCTTATGTGTGAATTTGTCCAAAGACAGGTGCCCCTCTGTTACATGTACTTCAGTGAATTATAAGGTCAGAGCACCCTTGACAGTGACAAGGTGAAACTGGACCAAGATTAAAAGAGCCATACAAAAAGAATTGCAGATTTCCACATTTTCACAATGTTCACACTTGCTTTTTGGTGGTTTGTTTACATTATTAAGCAAATCTCAGAGGCATTGTTAAAATTCTGTTTTGATGAAGCTAATGAAGTAATTACCCCACCTAAAATGAGCATTTATTTCTCAGTGAACGTGCAGGAAAGGCATGTTTATGTGCACTAGGCTTATAAAAAAACAAAGAAATATGTGGAATTACAAATTAACATGGCCAAAAGGCACTTATGAGTTTGGAAAGAGAAGGGCAGGTATACAGATGCATGTACCATGTGCAGTAAGACTTAGGGAATCAGTTCCAAGTATTTTTCAAGCCAAGTGCTGTATGATGGTAATTTAAAGACCAAGGTGAAAAACTGACTCGATCCAATCAGTGGGGATGTGCTGTCACCCACATCAACACTACATTGCACTCTCTGCACTTCACATTAACCCAGAATGTCACACCTGACTGCCACTATATAGAACAATGTCACCTGGAAAAGACTAGTGTGAAACTGTGACTTTTAAGATTGATTTCTACAAAGATGAGTCAGCAAAAACTGGTGCCAAAAGGTTGAATTTTTTGCCTTCTCAATGGCAACTTGACTTTTAAGCTAATAATATATTCAGTATCTCCAGAGTGTATAAAATGCTAAGAAGCTTAGACACACATCCTTTTACTTCTGACCTAATGGAATGTTTAGTTTTTTATTTGAATGTCAAGGTGACTTCTGAAAAAATAGTGCATGTGTACTTTACCATCGCTTCCTTATTTTAAGCATATATATATTCTCTTTTTTTCCACAGGGGTAAATATTTCAAGAGTACAGTAAATACACATTTAAATGGTGTTATTATAATGAAAAGAATTTATTAAAATTAAATAAACATGACTTAAATATTTTATGAGAATGTAGGTAAAAATGAGCATTGTTTTTTTCCAGTGTTTTTATTGCACAATGACCGGTGTTAAGTATTTGTAAATAGATACCATTCAGTGACCTCTTGACCACTGGTCACACTACCAACTTAGTTGCTAAGTAAACACATGTATGAGGGCAGTATATAGGACCCCTCTCTGCTCCTTTCAGCTAAAACTAAGGTATAAAGACAGGTGTATAAAAACGCACTATTGTGTATACCATTCAATCAGCCAAATAAAGGCTCAGTTAAAACTTGGATTTTAATTTTTAAATTGCAGACAAACAACACAATGTGGGGAAAAAAATACAAACTGCTGGAGAGCTAACTGTTTCTCCTCCCTCTCTTCAACACCAATTTCTCTCCTTTATAAATTAACTACTGCAATACAGAAGCTGTATCCAAGCAGCCAATAACATTCAAAAATCAATGACTAGAACAGAGTTAGCAATTTGGTTATTGAATAAATCCCCTAAAATCATATTACTGATTGAAAAACAGTAAATCATGTTAGTCAATTATCTGTGGGCAGTAACTATGTACCCTTGTCTGTGTTTGGCTTTAAAACAAACACATTGGGTCACAGATACCATACTTCAGCTATTTCACAATCACAAGTACTGATATTTTAACGAAGTTACTCTGTTGGACTACCCTATAACTCCAGAAATATATTACACACATGGGTGTGACCCCCCCCCCTTTGGAATTTTGGAACTGCATTTTTATTGAGGATACCAAGCCAATCATTATCTCCCCCTTCAACGACTTTGACCCCCACCTGGAAAATTTTCTTCAGACGCCCATGATTACACATACTGTATATGTATTCAAAGGATTAATGACAGAAATACATGTACAAAAATGCAATGATCTTAACGACAGCAAACATTTTTGTTAGTAAAACTGCTCAATAAGCAGATGAGGAGTTTCTCATGAAGTAATCATAGCAGCAAGCTACAGATTACATCTTTGTAGATAAATAAATTAACTGATTATATATATTTTTTTAAAATCAAAGGAATAACCGCCACTTTTCTTTTCTTCCAAAAATTTTACTCTAAGTGAGTCGAGTAACCTAAAGGTTGAAAAGCAATCTAAATGGTTGAAAATACTACATTTTGAGTTTTTCATCAATGAACTTGGTATTATAAAGTGACTCATCTATTAGTTACAAATAATTAACCAATATATAATAAGTAAACATTACTCGTCACTAGATTTACATTTTTTTCTCCCATGTCAATTTTTTTCTTCTTGTTAAAGTTATAATTATTACTATAATATTTTAAACTGATAACAATTGGCAAAATATTCCAGTTTTCCTATAATTTACATGGAACACCTCTAGTGAAATGTAATTTATTTTCTAAATAGAAAAAGAAATGCTTGATAAATTGTTACACTGATTTCTGATTTCTGTACTCAAGATATTCTGCAGGCAGACAGTTTCTCACAAATTTGTTATATTGCTCTGACCTTTAAATTCTACTTCCAAATATAAACAAAATTCCTAGAGGGCTGAAATACCTGGCTAGCCAACTTACCTGCTATTCACGTTAAGATAGAAGATGTATTAAGCAGCTTTTCAAAAATATATTACAAAAGATGGTGCTATTATCTTCAGTGACAAAAAGAAGAAACTTGAAGCCTGGTCAGACACTGTAATGAACAGGGATGAGAAAACGGCCACTTTACCTTCCAATGCTTACCAATATGTCCAAATTTCTTTCTAATAACAAAATTTCAAACTTTCTTTGGGGGTGGGCTCTTTGCCACAAATCTTTACTTTTTTTTCCTTTTTTCTTATTTTTTGTTATAATTCTGCCGATTTCAACAGTGAAATAACAAAGGAAATGCTGGCATCTGTTCAGCACACCACTGGTTCTTTTCACTGGTTCTTTCTTGGCTGATGCTCTTCAACAGATTCAGCAGTGACACTGTGCACTGCCACAAAAGGGTTGTGAAGCCGTAACTTTGTTAAGCCATGCATAATATACACCTGCTCTGGCTTTTTTTAGAAGACAGATTTTTTTATCATGAATAACTACAGCTAAGTGCTTATAGTCTCACATATGGATTTAGAGCAGTTACACAGTTTACACTGAGCTGTAATACATAGAATTTAATTTTTCTTTCAGACGGAACATCTTGTGTAGGCCTGTACACATATAAAACACAAGATAACAACATTGCCTCACACATACATAAAATATCCACAAACACAAATATTCTGTTCCTTGATCCCTTTTAAACCACACATATTAAAACAACTCTCATTACACCAATACAATTCAAAATAATAAACAAAGAATTTTTAGACTTAAAAATCATAGATATGAGCAGTTATATATTCCCAAACACTCATCAGGCACTTACTTCCTTCTTTATCTGCAGGAGTATAGCTAACCAAGTCTGCCATGGTGTAGTAGATATCCTAAGGCAGACACCGAGTAGTCTTGTCTTAACAGCTGACTGAAGAGATGCCAAAGAGAAGGCAAGTTCCAAGTCCCCTTCCTTTAATGTTATGTTCTTTTTACTAAAACAAACAAACAAAAAAAAAAAAACTGTATGTCAAGACTAAAAATCAGGCTACTATCCACTTTACCTTTTTAAAACCCCTTATTAAAGAGTTCATTTCTGATAGATAATTAAATAAAACAAAATAAATTAATCAATAATATATAAAATATAAAAAGCTCAAACCTGTACCTGTAGCAAAAGGCAGTTAGAATATTTATGAAATACCCTGTACAACTGGTAATATATGAATGACATTGAAATATTTCTCACTCTTTTAACTTAATTACTAGTAATATAACTGCACAATCCAAAGAACTGCTGACAATAATATTTCAGGGGCAGATTGAGGTCGGGATTCTGGAAGAGGGTCAGATTTTTAATGTTACATTGATGGGTATCTAATTTTTTCTGTCGGAAGACTGTCAAAAATTGATGATGGATCAACAAAGATAATTTGGAAGACTGTCTGAAAATAGCTCTGGATCCGCCCCTGTATTTTAAACTTGTGAAACCATTCTTATTTAATTAAATTCATAAAATTATATGGTCTAAAGAGTTTAATGTAATAGTGCAAGGATTTTGCTTTTTTCCTTTTTTTTTCTCTCTCTCTCTTAATTGTGCCAGACACTGGTAGTCGCAAGTTATATAATGGTGGCTAGACTGGCTTTTACTCAGTAGATTCAAAGATACACGAATTTCAGGCAAGGAGAGTGCATCACCTGTGTACAATTTTAAGATAAATTTGTGAAAGGATGAAATAACATAATTTCATCAACATATGAAGGCATTCTTTTGGATCGAGTACCACGTTGAATTCTGAGCGTCTATTAATAGATCTGATCATATATGTTTCAGCGTTTGACTCCTGATGCACTGAGGCTACAGCAAAGCTAAACCAGACAAGGCGAAAATTTTGTAGGAAATGCCACTCCTTGGAACTGACAACGTCCAAAACAGGTGAACAACGGGATATCTTAATGTTTTAAAAGATAACTGCTGCCATGTCGTTTACCGTGTCGATCAGACGACATAATAATGACCTGAGACGTTGGCAACGTGATAGATCTACTGAATTATCGTCCTGAAGGCTTTTCGGCACTTTTTTGCCTGTGGACTGGGGTACTACACATAGTATAAATTTCTTTTTCGCAAAATTTTCTTTAGAATGTCAATTTACGGTCTCAGAGGTTTACAGGTAACCAAGCAGAAACCGAGAAAGTGACGTAACCTCTGAAGGCACTTGACCGATTCTTTGCTGGAACAGCGTCTGCCGTCAACCAGTCATCGTCAACAAGGGTTGACACCGGTAGAAACATTACTTACCTTTATTTCAGTTGTTCCCAATTTAGATGATGTGCATAGTTTACAGTGTATGCTGCACGTTGTCCATGGAATTTCAACTTCGAATACCGCTTAGTCACGAAGATTGACGTGACCTATGACTGACCTTTTACGCCAGATGTCGCCACAAATCTGTAGGTGGATGATATCAAAATACGAAGGCTAGTTAAATACGGAGAAAACACAGGATTATGCGTCAGGCTTTTTTCTTAGATATTAAAAGGGAGATTAGTAAATATTTCACACAGAAACAATTTGTTTTATTTTCAGATTAATTCGATTCACATCCCATCTTGTCAAGGTCAAGGCCATATAATATTGGTACAATCGTACTTTTGCATAGTGGTTTCATAACTCAAGGGAATCCATTCAAAATGAACATGTTGGCCAAGGCAGCCTTGGTAGATTTTTGCATCCAGTGGCTGTGTTGGGCGGTAGCGGCAACTTTGAAGACAGAGAAGTTTTATGATTTAGCTGGTAAGTTTTCGATTCGTGAACTCAATTCATTTTTCCCGCGGGGAGGCTCTGTAACGCTGCCAAGGCGAGCCAGTAGGTTGTCACCTTTGTCATAATACATACTGAAGTCAAGGTGGAGTCACCCAAATGGTTCATTCAGAACACTTTACCTAAAACTATTTTTCTGCAGATGTGCTTCTACATACTGGTACAATGATTGAAATGCCAGCACACACTGAAGGGTCATTTTTGGGTTCTGTTGCAGCCCCCCCCCCCCCCCCCCCCCCAGGAACTCTTTTATTTCCAACATTTATTAAAATCACCCCTGCCAGGACTTTGATGATCATAATATTTGAATGCACGGACATGAAGATTCTTATATATTTAAAATACATGGAGAATTATTTGATGAATTATCAAATAAATATACTAGTATTTGAATGCTAATTTAATTTTAAACTGTCCATTTTATTGTACAATGCATGCATTTAAAATTTAGGATCCAGTACTTTCTTCTTGGTTGTGGTCCAGACATTAGTTTGGGGAGAACGCTACTTCACAAGGCAAAAGGTGCAGACAGGACTGGTGGCAATATGGGCTGTCAGGTACAGTATGTACAAAGTACATGTAGTAACCACTGTAGATACAGTTACCCTCTACCAGGGCGACTGATAGATTTTTACGGATATTCACAGATATGTCTCTAGCTAGATAGATTGTCATTTTAAGCTCAAGTCTCAAAAAAAATATATATATATATTTTTTTAAACTTACCAGCTTTTATATATATATATATATATATAAAAAAAAAATATATATATATATATATATATATATATATATATATATATATATATATATAATATATATATAAATTTTTTTTTTTTTTTTTTTTTTTTTTTTTTTTTTTTTTACTTCTTCAGCCTAAGCTTTTATGGTAAATACTATGTTCAAGATATGAACTTCAATTGACTACTTGATTTACTTATAAGCTACAGATGTATACAGCAGTTAACCAAAATGTTTGATGATGACATAAGTATATATAATCATTTGTTGCAGGTTAGGCAGCTATCTGGTCCCCAGGATCCTTCAAGATGGCCATGACAAGAGATTTGATGGGGTCAGGGACAATCCACCCAAATTCCTCATCTACTGGACAATACAGGGTACTATTTTTATTCTCATTTTCAAAATAAGAAATTCATTCATAATTTTACTATTTGTATAAAATAGGCTTGATATGGTACTATATAGCACACAATTCAACTAGTTTTTTTTTTATTTAATGGAAGGGTCAGTTATTTTCATATAAAGAAGAAGTACATTTGTACATTTGGCTTGTACATTGTTTTATGTGCATACAATGAATTGTGTTCACAATACAAAGTTTGTATGAGGAGTGTCATACCAGATAGAAATGATAGCTTCATCACACATTAATTACACATTACCCATGATTGCCCTACTTTCAGGAGTCTGGGTCTTTGTTACCCTGTTACCAACTCTTCTCCTCAACCTGAAGAAAAATGACCTATCATTGTGTGCCAGAGACATTTTGGGCTGGGGATTATGGGTAGTGGGGTTTCTGTTTGAAGCCATTGCCGATTACCAGAAATCTCAGTTCAGGAGTGATCCTGCTAATAAAGTGAGTGAGGGGTGCTTCTGAATGTTTTTGCCAAATAAGAAAAATGTGAAAATATTTTTTTATCCAAAACAGATTAGTGAACCTATCAAAATAAATTTGACAAAAAAAGTTTAAGTGAAATGGTTTGCATAATCTAAAGAATTTAATAATTGGGTAAAATATACCATGCTAGAAGGAGCCCAGTCATTGCTTTCCAAATAGTAGAACCAGTTTTAAGATTGGTCACCAGGAGCAAAAACTCTCTGTCAATTCGTGAGGTACAGCCTCAATTTCATATAGAAAGTGAAAAGTTTGAAATTACACTCATATTGTGTATCTAATACAAGACATCTTACTCCAGGGCATGTTTATACAGGAAGGACTATGGTCAATCAGTCGACACCCAAATTATTTTGGCGAGATCTTAATGTGGACAGGACTGTTTATCTCGGCCAGCTCGGTGCTGGAAGGAGTGGAGCTCCTCAGCGTTATTTCTCCCATGTTTGTAGCATTTCTGCTGATCAAAGTCAGTGGTATTCCTTTGCTGGAAAAGGCAGGACTGAAAAAATGGGGCTCCAACCCAGCATATCAGGACTACCTGAGGGATATAGCAGTGTTGGTGCCATACGTGTGGTAGGCTTGATGTCAGGGGTGACGCCATGTTTTCAGATTGCGATCAATGCACAATGATGGATCCAGAGATATTTTCTGACAATTCTTCCAAATTATCTTTGTTGCTCCGTAATTAGATGCATGTCAATGTAAGCTTGAAAAATTCTGAACATGTTTCAGAATACCCAGAAGATGGCTTCCGTCGTCTGCCCCTGAATACAGACAGTCCAAAATCATTTTCATAAGAATACTTAAACTAGAGTTACAGTTATTTAAGTTGTACATCAAAATTTTACAGTTTTGAGTTAATGAGTATTTGTAAAAAAAAATATAGAAAGTAAAAACTTGTTGAAATATGTGGCAACTCAAAACAGAACTATGGGATACTAGTACTAATTGTAGATGCAAATAAATACACAGGTCTTTTTTTTTTTATTTTTTGTTGGAAAACAAATCAGGAAAATATGCAATCTTATAAATATATAAATAGATTTATATCTCTTTACTTTTGCATAAGCACAAAGTATTGTTTGTTAAAAAACCAAAAAGCTGTGAACTGAAATACTTAAATTTATTTTTGAAAAATAAATGGTTTCTTAACAGTTTGGAATCCATGTTATTTATTGGGAACTGACAGAACAAGGATTTTTTGTGCATTTTTCACTTCTTATACATCATTAGTGAAATAATATTTGATGTTACTGCAGTTAAACTCATTATTTGAATACACAAATGTGTGACTTACAATCATCAAGTAACTGGAATGTTTTAGTAGCAGCACTATCTCATTCAGCAATAAAACCTGAAGGTTAAAATTTGGTGTGGACCTTGTATAACATTTCAATGTCGCTGCTTCTTACAATTTTGAAATGTATGTCTATCCACTTGACAGCTTTACTGCAATGTTTTACATTAATGGATAGATCATTTGTCTAACCTGATAGAATGAGGAGTTTGATCCGTCTGTTAGAAAGCTCAGTTTCTCAGCATAAAATTGTGAAGATCAAGCAGAGAAGAATAATCCATGTTCTTTGATATGTAATTGAATTTCTTTACTGATGTGAGGTTTAACTGCTGCGCTCAACTTCAGTCACCGGCTTATGACACTAACTATAAGTCTCTATAAGAATCCAAAACGATTTTTATAAAAGATACCAACCCTTGGTCTTCAATATATGCATAAATCTTTTTAACAAAAAATTGCCAACACTGCATTTTTCTTGGGAACTAATAAGTATATTTTAAGAAGGGTGATAAAAACTGGCAAAATGTCTGATGGACAGTACAGTAACACAAGCACCGATCAGCATTTATCTACTCATCTGAAACACAAGTAAGGTAACAATTATCTTTTACTATGCTGTCACATAGTTTGTGATAAAAAGTGACAACACATGCCAAGCCACTCCTGGCTTGTGTTAGGTGTGACAATCCCAATGTCTGTGTCAGTTTGGGAGTGTCTTGGGTGAGACAACACACTGTCTCCCTCTATAAGCCACAGGCGATAATAGGGTGGACCTCAATCCCAGCATGCTCTTCAGCTGGTGGCTCCATTTCCTCAACCTGCTCTAATATGTCCGTGTGGTCAATAGTGGACAGGTCAGTCTCAGGCAGGTGGACGTTATGACCAATTAAAACCTGCAGTTTGTTAGAAGTTACTGGCGTGTTAGATGTGCTAGGTGAGATTTCTGGTTGTTCTGATTGTGTTTGGAGTTCGAGTGAATTTGTTAGATGTGCCTCTGTATGAGACAACACTGGTTCAGTTTGTAACATTTGTCCTGATTGTATCACATCATCCAGTTGTCCATCATGTTCCAAGGATTGTTCCTGGTCCTCAATTACATTGATGAGAACCGTTTCTGATTGTGTTGGATGTTCCACTGATTGTGTTGGTTGTGCCATGGCTGTCTCATTATCAGTCTGCTTTGCATTTAATTCTCTCAGGGCAGCATCCCCCAAGACATCTAGATTGTAGGACATATCATCAGGATGTACCTCTTCCTGGGCATCTCTAAAATATAAGTTATGGTTTATATATTGTATTTTGCATGAAAAAGATGGAAGTCGACACTAGTATACTGTCATGCTCTTAATCTGCTTCCTGAATTGAATTGAGCCAATACGTTTTCTTTTTATGTGCAGAAACAATGACAGGTTTGTCTTACAGAAAAAAAAATGAATTTTAGACTTTTGCAAGTTGAAACCACAAGGGAGATTGAGATGTATTTTAGTTAAACTTGTCATGAATTTTTTAAACAGAAGATTCATTTTAAAATGTGTCGGTTCTTTACTTTTCATTTACATTGATGTAAGTAATGCAATACAAATACATCAGAAACATTTACAAAATCGTTCCCTTCATCAAAAATTTCTTGTGAAAGAAACCAGAGAACAAGGCTAAGAAATATGGAGACATAAAATGAAAGAAACCAATTCAAGTGACATTAACAAACAATTAAAAACCTCCAATATGAGTGGTAAATAAGAAGAACTCTACCCTTGCCCCTCCTCATCTGTACCATCTTCAGGAATGACCTCCACTGTGACCTCCTCCTCATCCTCGTCTCTCCGTTCTGGTGCCTTCTCCAGAAAATGTTCTGTCAGCTCAATAGACTCGTACCTCACCGTCTGCAGCCGGAAGAAAGAGTCCTCGTGGAGTTTATACCTGAACAGACACATAGATAAACTGTTACTTACACTGTTACTTAATTCAAACAATATTGATAAAATGCATTTCTTAAAATAAATATATATTTTTTGTTGCTGTTGGCAATACATGAATTATTTTTTTTAAGTTTTGAAAATCAACTGTTACAGTATTTAAAATATTCTTTGTTGGATCAAGCACATAAAACNATTATGACCAATTAAAACCTGCAGTTTGTTAGAAGTTACTGGCGTGTTAGATGTGCTAGGTGAGATTTCTGGTTGTTCTGATTGTGTTTGGAGTTCGAGTGAATTTGTTAGATGTGCCTCTGTATGAGACAGCACTGGTTCAGTTTGTAACATTTGTCCTGAGTGTATCACATCATCCAGTTGTCCATCATGTTCCAAGGATTGTTCCTGGTCCTCAATTACATTGATGAGAGCTGTTTCTGATTGTGTTAGTTGTTCCACTGATTGTGTTGGTTGTGCCATAGCTGTCTCACTATCAGTCTGCTTTGAATTCAATTCTCTCAGGGCAGCATCCCCCAGGACATCCAGATTGTAAGACATATCATCAGGATGTACCTCTTCCTGGGCATCTCTAAAATATAAGTTATGGTTTATATATTATATTTTGCATGAAAAAGATGGAATTCGACACTAGTATAGTGTCATGCTCTTAATCTGCTTCCTGCCAATACATTTTCTTTTTATGTGCTGAAACAATGACAGGTTTGTCTTACAGAAAAAAATGAATTACAGACTTTTGCAAGTTGAAATCACAAGGAAAATTGAGATGTATTTTAGTTGAACTTGAATTTTTTTAAACAGAAGTTTTATTTTAAAATGTGTTGGTTATTTACTTTTCATTTACATCGATACAAGTAATGCATTACAAATACATGACAAACATTTGCAAAAGCATTCCCATAATCAAAATTTCTTGTAAAAGAAACCAGAGAACACGACTAGAAATACGGAGATATAAAACGAAAGAAACCACTTCAAGTGACATTAACATACAATTAAAAACCTCCAAAATAAGTGGTAAATAAGAAGAACCCTACCCTTGTCCCTCCTCATCTGTACAATCTTCAGGAATGACCTCCACTGTGACCTCTTCCTCATCCTCATCTCTCCGTTCTGGTGCCTTCTCCAGAAAATGTTCTGTCAACTCAATAGACTCATACCTCACAGTCTGCAGCCGGAAGAAAGAGTCTTCGTGGAGTTTATACCTGAACAGACACATAGATAAACTGTTACTTACACTGTTACTTAATTCAAACAATATTGATAAAATGCATTTCTTAAAATATATACATATTTTTTTGTTGTTGTTGCTGTTGGCAATACATGAATTTTTTTTCTTTAAGTTTTGAAAATCAACTGTTACAGTATTTAAAATATTCTTTGTTGGTTCAAGCACATAAAACTATGACATAACCATTATATAGTAAATACAATAACGTTATATGTTAGTTTCCAAGGAAAAGCTTTACATACATGTACATAATACACTTCAAACACTGAAGACTGCAAGACATGTAGTATCGTTTCAAAGTTTTGAACTGTGTTAAAATGAAAAAAAAAAAAGAGAGTCAAAAAGTGCTGAAACTTGTGAAAATTATAAAGATCTAGTAGCTGATGGTTTTGACACGTGTGAGATATAACTGGCTACCAACCTGAACCTGGTGTGTCCTGAAGGCCACTTGAATTTGTGGTGATTTTTGAGATGGTGTGTCAGTTTTTCTCCACGGGTGTATGTGGTATTACAGATGTGGCACATGTACTTGGGTTTGATGCCCATCTGTGGAAAGATTTGAAGAATAAAAGATTCATAAACCTTTTTTCAAAAATTTGACATCTCATAAGTGGCAAATGCAATATGTATACTGCTTAGCCACAGGGACAATAAATATTAAACAGAACTTAACCAATGTTCACATAGAGATTCAAATTACAACTTTAAAATTTTATACACTATCAGGCAGGTATTTAGAGGGTTTCAAAAGAACTGCCCTTCTAGCAAGAATAAGTCCAATTTTTCATTAAAAAAAATATCCTTGTCTCTGAAACCGCTTTCTACAGATCTGATCTTACTTATTTCAATCTTTTTTTATGCAAATATCATTATTCTTCACTGCTAACCTATCACGTTTTGATATGGACTGAATCAGTTTTCAAAAATTTGGTGTAATCTATCACATTCAAAATATTGTCTTCATATTGGGATGATCAAATGTATTTAAATTTCCTAAAAGGACTCTTGAATTAATTTTCAATGAAGACAGGGCATATTGTGGGGTTGTAAAAAACAATTCACTTTGAGAAAAATGCCTTAAATGATAGAAAAATTCTTGACTTCAGACGTCACACACACATACCGGGTTAGCTGTGTGTTTCCTGAAGTGTCGAACAAACAGGTTGTAAACCTTGGCGCTGTATTTACAGTTCGGGTAATGACAGTAGAACATCGGTTTCTCGTTGTGGGTCTCTAAGTGTTTCCTTAAGTCTGCAAGGGTTTTACATCTGAAAGTTATGATCATCACTTAAACATTTCAACCAGCATTAATTGATTTTATTCTTCTCCTTAATCTTTTCTGCACTTTCTTTACTTTTGGACGTTTTGGCCTTCAGACACTTTTAAACAGAAAAAAAAAATCTACAGATAACAGGAAAAAAATTAAAACCAATGCAGAGTGAGAGCAAGCAGGGAAACATGCTAGGTTTGATTTAAGGTTTATTTGTTTAAAATACAAATTAGGTTTTAACTTATCACATGGCTGGCACTTCCACCAATAGGATAATTGCACAAGTTTTGCTTACAAGGCATGTACATTTCAGTGTGTTCTGAGCAAAATACCAGTGCAATCATCCTACTGAGCCAAGGACCAGCAGTAGAATAAGTCAGTTAAAACCACTACACCTCTATAATTACACTCTTGTAGGACCTGTGTTGTAACTTGTACTTATCCAATTACAAATATAAAAGTCGACTTACTTCCTACTGTTACAAAATGTGCATTTGAAAAGTTTTTACACTAAAAGTCTAATGCCTAAATCATGGTGATTTGTTTAAACTTTTGAAAAAAAATTTGTAGCAAAAAGGTTGTATGATATCAGAAAATTGTAGAAAACACTAACTTGCGTTCACAACCCGTGCATTTATATGGTTTCTCATTTGTGTGACGATAACGAATGTGGTTCCTCAGCGCAGAGGGTGCAGGGCACGTCATGTCACAGAGAGGGCACTTGTAATGGTTGACATGGTTACGCATGTGATCACGCAGAAGCCGCTCCGTGTTGAACCTCTTGTTGCAGTGAGAGCACTGATAGCAATGAGCTGAAAATGAAAGATCAGTTAAGTTTAAAAACGAATACCAATTTATGACACAAAGTGTAGTGTTCTCTTAAACAAAATGTCTGATTCTTTTAATTTTACATATTTACCAGCCTGGAGCATTAAAAAAAAAACTTAATAGTCCTCCCCATCCTTCCTATTGAACAAATGGCAAAGGTGAGGAGAGCCAAATGATCGTAATTTTCAATAAAAAAATTTTTGTGACCCTAAAAATAATAAAAAAACACACTGGGTAATACAGAGAAAAACCATTTGCTATGAAAATTAGGAAAGTTAAAAGATAAATTTTCACTTACGATCTGCCTGAGATTGTCTCTTGACATGGTCAAAGAATTTTGTTCGATTTGAGAAAAGTCCGCCACAGGTCGGACAAGCCACCACTTTCTGCTGGGTGTGACTGCGCAGGTGCTCCTTTAGCTTATGTTTACTTTTATAGCTGTGTCCACAACCTGTCAATAAATAAAGGCACCCTGTCATCCTTTGACTGCAACCAGACTCACCATGGCTGGGAAAGTTCTTAAGAAATGCTGAGGACAGTTTATGTCAGCCTCTAACAATGTCACCTTCAAATTTCCCACAAGAAAAAAAATGAATCTTTAAATTGTAAAATTTTGGTGAAAATGACAAATGATAGAGGGACAGAAAGAAAGAGGTGGGGGTAGGGAAACTCACCTTCCCACTCACACCTGCATCCACCAGGCACATTATTGCCCTCAGGATAATCCTCTGCATGGAAGGCAACATGGCGGTAGAAGTACTCTGGGTTATCAGATATTTCCTGTGAATATGATAAAAGTGGGAGAAATCAATATGGGTGGTTACATGAAGGTGTAAAGTATGGGTAGATCTTTTCTGTTTGAAACATTATCCTTTTTTTTCCTCATAAAACAGGCAACAAGAACTGACACTAATGTTTACTGGATAAAAGTGAATTGGAAAGAAGTTATTGTTCTGTTGACTTAAATCATTTAGGAAAACCTATGCCAAGTGCAAGAAAATCCAACATAAAGGAGAGTGTAGCCCCCATCGATCTGTACAGGTAAGCATAATTCTAGATTTGGACCCCTTAAATCATGCTAACCTTAACCTGTATGAATCTAACCAAGGACAGACTCTATTGCTTGGAACCTCAGTTTTGACACTTTTGTCCCACAGTCTCACCTCACACTCCTTCCACCCACACTGCAGCCTCTCTGGCAGCTCAGGAATCATGTTTCTGGTGGCAGAATCCAGCATGCATCCCTGCTTGCTCTCGCTCTGCAGCAGCATGGTCATCCCAAAACACTTAATCTTCACGTGGAAGCAGTGAAAGTAGGTATGGCGAAGGTAATCAAAGTGGTCCCTCTCCGCCAAATAGCCACACTCTCGCCACTTGCACTTGCTGGGTTTGTACACATCGAGGACTGGTGCTGGAAATATGATAAAAAGTTTTTTAGAAGTCTTTCTCCACAACATAGCCTCGCTCTAGCCATTTGCACTTACCGGGTTTGTACACATCCAAGGACTGGTGCTGGAAATATGATAAAGAGGTTTTTTAGAAGTCTTTCTCCACAACATAGCCTCGCTCTAGCCATTTGCACTTACCGGGTTTGTACACATCCAAGGACTGGTGCTGGAAATATGATAAAGAGGTTTTAGAAGAGAGTCCCTCTCTGAAACAAAGCCTCACTCTTGCCCCTTTCTCCTAGTGGGTGGTAGACTCACACTTCAAGAAATCGATGTAAAATAGCTAATTTTCACATTTGAATGAACAATGTAGAAAAAATATGTAAGCTAAATCTCCAATTTTGCACATCAAGTGAAGAATAATTATCTTCATAATTAACTCTTCTAAATCTATACATCCCCTTAAGTACCAAGCAAAAGGCCATTCTCATCTATCTGAAGGGTTTCCCAGATAATAGTATCCATTAAGTTTCCCATATGACTCCAGCATAATCAGTTGAAATTGAAAACACCTTTAGGATCTAGAGTACCAGAAACAAAAAAATTCTCTATGCCATTGCCTGCCCCCTACCTTGTCCTGCCTGGGATCTCTCCGCTATGAACTCATGGTTCAAATGGTCCAGGACATGCTTGAGAAAGTCATCCATGTTGTCAAACACGTCCTCACAGGTGCCCCACTCACAGGAGAGAGTAAGAGGGTCGTTCTTATGGGGAGGCTGAATCTGGCGTTTTAGTTTCTTCTTTGGGGGCATGGTCTGAAATTGTGGAAATATGTTGGCATTATAAACTTACCTAATGATTATTTATGATTGCTTTAAATCACAGGAATTAATTTGCAACCTTTTATAACCTGTTTTAGCAATGTTCATCATACAAGAGTTTTGGGTACTTGCATAGTACAGTATATTCTTAGTCTTTGATTCACCTTGCCTCAGTTTTCGGTCTTACATGCTCACGAAGACTGAGGCAAACTTGAACCGCCATATTCAACTCGCTTAGTCCATAAAATGGACTCCCTTTCAAGTTTTATTGAATAATAGCGGTTCATTAGACTGCCATTTTTCCTCTTACCTTTGTAAAAAAACAGCGAGCAACACCTGCTTTATTGTTTTACGCCTTTTCTGCGTAAAAGACAAGTAGCCACTCTTTCTTATGACTGGAGGCTCGAAATTGCGGAAATCGAATGCGGCGGGACATCAGCCCCGCACTTAATGCAGGTGTCGTGATCAGAAGTTTTAAAAATTAAAGCTGACATTTTTGGTGCTGTTTTTACTCATGAGTTATTTTCGTAAATATATACTTCGAAAAAAAGATCGTACGATAATTCTTTTTTTACATTTTCGGATGGTCATTGACTGCCTGTGTGTGTGTGTGCGTGCGTCAGAGAATACTTTTAAAACGCAACATCGTTGTTCCTCTTAACAACCTTTAACCTCCCCCGTGGCCACATGAAAATAAATAGATTATAGAAAGAAAAGTTTCTAAAAATAGTTTATTTCATCGAACAAGCTCTTTTGAAGACGATAGATCTCTAAAATCTGAACTAAATCTAAACGGCCCAACTGTCATACCAACAAAACTTAATTTTACACATTTATTTCTGGCTATTTAATATTTGTAAATCAACATTGTCATTATCCCGACCTGTTCTTATATTACATTCACAATTAAATCTGCAATTCTGCTTAAGGAAAACTTTTTTAAAATTATTGTTAACTGCAGGTTTATAACCACGCCCCAATCCACCGTTTCGTGCTGCCATCTACCGATATTGGCCCTTAGCTTCCAAATATAATCCAACATCAGACTAAGATAACTGCTACAGTATACATGAATTTATTGTAAACCAACCATTTGTAAACTGCTCTTTGACTTACTACATGGACTCAAATTATCCAAAAAGCCAAGCAGCTGGTAATTTAATTTAAGCCGTCTTTTCAAGCTAAGCCATAATAAATTGTTGGTCTAATTTGTTATGATCAACCCAGACACCTGTCCCAAGCATTGCCGTAACTCTATGTTACTCAAGATCAAGTAATATAGCATATCATATGAGATATAGCTTCAACAATTAAGGAACAAAATATATGTAACTGAACATTGTAAGGCTATAGGATATTTGTAAACAAAATATTTGACATAAAAATATATAACTGCTTAATTTCTTATGTTGAGAAAAAAGATTAACATGACAAAAAGAGCAAGTGAAATTAAATAATGAGGTACAAGTGTGGAGACAATTACAGTGGAGACAGTTACAGAAATCAGCAAAATACTTATATTTATATATCCTAGTTATCATCATCACATAAATGTAAAATGAGATTCTTCTGAGATTCTAATTTTGTAAAAAAAAAAAAAAATCTTACAACAAAAAATCGTGGGAATGTTTTCAAGGTGTGGACTGACAACTTGACAGTATAAAACTTGTCATATAGAGTTATCAACTGAATTCATGAATCGCTGCCAACCTGAAAGAAATTCATTCTTACAATAAATGGGAATGAATTAGGCCAAGTGACAAAACTGACACTGTAAAATGAACTGACAGCCTTGCAAATGAAGACTGTTAATGGTTCATTCAACAAATCTTGATTTTCCACACAGCAGTACTGGACATTCTGACATGTATATTTTGCAATTGACATTGTAGTCCCTTGGAGAGTATACAAATAGAAATACATTTAATGCCAAATAAATAATCATCATCACTGTATAAATGTATTTTCAATTACCTAACTATATAACTTCTAAAACTGTGCGAATACGATGCAAGACTTGGCTGTTAATTGTAAGCATTTATGTAAGGTTCCTTGTTAATTGTAAGCTTTTATGTAAGATATCCCTTGTGCGAACTGTGCGAATACGATGTAAGACTTGGCTGTTAACTGTAAGCTTTTATGTAGATTCCTTGTTTATTGTAAGCTTTTATGTAAGATTCCTTGTGCGAACTGTGCGAATACGATGTAAGACTTGGCTGTTAATTGTAAACTTTTACGTAAGATTCCTTGTGCACATTTTTACATTTATAAAAATATATCCCTTCAGAACAAAAATGGCAAACAGATGCAGGAGATTGCCCTCTTTTTTTAAGAAAATAAGAATTGGTCCACTGCAACCGCAGGGAATCTATTAAGTGTCTAATCAGGAATTAAGTTATCTCATTGTTCATTTATATATATATATATATATATATATATATATATATATATATATATATATATATATATATATATATATATACAAGAATATAATTTGCCATTCAACTATTAATCTCAGATCCAACTACACATCACTTAATTGAAGGGGCACCAGTGCCAACTGCTCCCTCGCTTATACTCTCCAGCTCCAAGTTTTCTCAGTTTAGCTTTGTTTCCTTTTTAAACATGCAGAGCATTTTTTGTCAAGAATTATACTCTTCCCTATAACAAAAACAGTATATATACATGTATATTACTTATTAATTTGTTGAATTTGACCATGTTTCTATCAAAGAGGCCTCTGCTGAAACATAGGAGCTATTCCGCACCTGGTTTATGTCATAACAGTAACCCATTTCCTCTGCATCACTACACCGAAACGCAGACCCATCCACGATGCTTTTAAGAACCAAGACAAGCCCAACTACAGAAAATGCTATCCCAGTGATGGCTACTATGGTTGGGAAAATATTTTTTATTTGGAGAATTTTGTCTCCGTTATCGTGAGAAATCTTCATATAACTCAAACATGGCAGGATGAAGCACATTGGTATTGCAGCTAGCGCACCCTGGTGAGAAAAGAAATACAAATTCATTCTCAATTTTATACTTTAGATGTATTCTCACTAGACTAGGAAATGAGTCTAAGAAGAAAAACAGACAACTGAAGCAGCTTGTAGTAAAATTTGTGACAAATATATCTTAGTTCAGTTTTTATTTCTTTATTCCTTTTATTCGCCAAAACAGTAAATTAAAATGCATAAAGATATTTAGTGTTTTAACATGCATTTTACCCTAATATTTGGAAAACTACACATACAAAGTATAGGACTTACATTCAACTCCAAGACAATCCCTAGGCAGTTAGTTACCATGGAGATTCCTCCTGTTGCTAGGACAAGAGCTAATGTTACTAACATATGGCGTAGCAGGGTAGCAGGTTGCTTAGCACCAAACAGCAGATTTTCTATGACCTGCAAAAAGGAGAAAGATGCTATATATTATATGTGCAGCATTGGGACAAAATCTTGATTTACACTAAGTCTAAAATATTTCAAAAGCCTAAAATATTTGTGCCTGGACTTGTTGATAATGGTAATACAATAAATTGTGACTTCTCTGTTGACAAGAGGTATTTCATGTAGAATTATCTACCTGCCACAAACAGGTTCCAATAACAGAAGTAATTTAAAAGAATTTTCAGGAAAACATTCATAAAGAAACATTTGATCAGCTCTCACAAAGTTATGGTTACATCACATAATGTTGGTCTCTGCTTTAAGGTATAATCTTATCTGGATTTTTTCATTTTGTGCATCTATGTTTGTTCTAAAATGTTTCATTACATTTTTCTTGTTTAATGACAACTTATTATATGACTGACTACATTTTTTTCACTTCCTTTAATTTGCTATTTCTCTGACAACCAAAATCCATTTCCATTGGCCGACTGTTTCACCTACCTCTCTTGTAACAAAGCATTCTATTGGATAAGTCAGCATAACACTAAAGGTAAATATCAGCCTTGTTACATTGGCATAGTCATCAGAGTAACAGTAGTTTTCCAATAAATCCCCTGAATTTTCATAGAGAAAAAAACATTGTAATGAAGGAGCATTTGAATTAATGAATATCAATGGAGAACTGGATAAATAAATGATGGAAAGAAGGTTATTGATATAAAACATTTTGTTCCCCAGCAACTTATCTTGAATAACAAAACAATCTTAATATAAAATTATGCTTAATTCTATGTTTCTTCGAGATATCTAAACAATTTTTAAATTAAATTAATTTTAAATTAAAATTAAAAAATGAAGTCAAAAATAGGCCTAAGCTCAAACTCAGACTGCTAAGAATTTTAGCCAATAAAACTGAATTTCACAATGAATCTAAATGGCTACATTATTTGATTTATATCTTTTAATTAAGCCCCTAAAGTTAGGTGTTTTGTTGGTGAATGCCCATATAAGTGAATCAATGACACAAATGGTGAAGAAGCTTTAATTAAATGATATTGCACTGTAGGATTAAAACAGATCCCATATCTTCAGCCTGAACATAGCCCAAAGAAACTAGTCTTCCAACCTTGGGTATATCCCATGAAAGTGATATACCAAAACAGGCCCTAGTACACCTACCTTGGGTATATCCCATGAAAGTGATGTACCAAAACAGGCCCTAGTACACCTACCTTGGGTATATCCCATGAAAGTGATGTACCAAAACAGGCCCTAGTACACCTACCTTGGGTATATCCCATGAAAGTGATGTACCAAAACAGGCCCTAGTACACCTACCTTGGGTATATCCCATGAAAGTGATGTACCAAAACAGGCCCTAGTACACCTACCTTGGGTATATCCCATGAAAGTGATGTACCAAAACAGGCCCTAGTACACCTACCTTGGGTATATCCCATGAAAGTGATGTACCAAAACAGGCCCTAGTACACCTACCTTGGGTATATCCCATGAAAGTGATGTACCAAAACAGGCCCTAGTACACCTACCTTGGGTATATCCCATGAAAGTGATGTACCAAAACAGGCCCTAGTACACCTACCTTGGGTATATCCCATGAAAGTGATGTACCAAAACAGGCCCTAGTACACCTACCTTGGGTATATCCCATGAAAGTGATGTACCAAAACAGGCCCTAGTACACCTACCTTGGGTATATCCCATGAAAGTGATGTACCAAAACAGGCCCTAGTACACCTACCTTGGGTATATCCCATGAAAGTGATGTACCAAAACAGGCCCTAGTACACCTACCTTGGGTATATCCTGTGAATGTGATGTACCCAAACAGGCCAAACACCAGAGAGGCCACCATGGAGGAACCAACACTGATGTGGACCACTTTGTTCCAACATTGCTGAGTTGGTTCTTTCAAGGAACGGAAGATGAGGAATGAGTTGTGGTGGCAAAGGTAAGCTGAAAATTTTAATGTAAAAAGATGTTGAATTTATTCAGAAAGCTCATCTGTATGTAGAAGATTTGAACCATTGGCAATAGTGGTTTGCATGGGAAAAGAAGCCATTTTGCAGAAAATATTTACCATGAATCTGGAATTAGAAAAAAGGTGTTATACCCTTTTAAAACTGAGGATCGACAGCCATCAGCAACCCTAGCAAAAGCAACTAGCACAATCAACACAATATCATAGTAGAACAACCAGCACAATCCACACAATGTCATATACAACTTACCAGTAGTAATTATACCCATTGCCTGCACGATTCCATCTTCAGCAAATATCCAGGCATCATCAGTTTTGGGCACTTCCCTTGCCATGGTCACAGCACGTACCATTATAAACACAGTCACAAAGCTGATAGAAAGGATAGCACAGGCAGAAAACTGAAAGAGAAAATAAAATAAACTCATTTCTGAACTAAGTACTGAAACTAATGAAAAGGGTGAGACAACAGACAGTAGCATTTTAAAAATTAACAAAATGACATCAAGTTCATTTTCTTGTTGATAAAATTTTTTTTAATATGAAAACATGGCAAAATCCAATGCATATTCATGCAGTTGCTAAACTGTTAGACAAACAAGCAGCATATGGTATATATCCGATATATGGCCAAAATAAAAACTCTCTTGACTAAATCTACCTATAAATCTTATCAACATTCTTGCTTGGCTACCTTACTGTGCCTGACAGGTTATACACATTTATATAACAACATCTGAATATAAACCTTAAGTTAACTATAATAGTAACTACAGCTACATGTATGTTCCTGTGGCACAACACTAGCCATGGCATAAAGTAAATAACACAAACAGACAGACACTCACAAATAAAACAAAACAAAAATAAATAAATAAATAAATAAATAAATAAATAAATAAATAAATAAATAAATTCCTTACCATCTTAACTTTCAATTTTGCAAAGTGCTTTTTTTTCATTACTTAAAAAAATTGTATATATTCTGATAAAACCCCTACCTTGCTGAGTTTAGCTATGTTCCTGTAGCAAGACAAAGGCATAGAGATAAATATTGTAAACAAGAAGAGAATAAATTGTCTGTTGCCCAGGACGGAATTCTTTACAGATTCTGAAAAAAAAATCATTTTATATTATCACTAAAACATACAGTATATATCAATGAAGATTTGAAATGAATAGGTTTCTGACAAAAAAAATTAAAACAATACAAATTAGTCTATTTATCATTTATCAAATCCTTAACACTTTAGAATGAATTATTTGAAATTCTGTACAAAAAGTATGTTGTTTCATTACGTGTATCTTATATCAGTTGATATCATTCATTGCTTTCTATCCTTGACTCCTAATAGTAATTCAAATTTCACTTTCTGCAACTTTTTTTTAAAAAAAGGTTGCGCAACATCAGAACATTTTATCATATTTCAAACAAAAGTGAATTAATTTAACTAGAGGATCAGAGAGGCGATACCGCCTCCGAATATTGTACCACCAGCTGGAGCAAGCGCATTCGTATAGACCCCCACATACACAAAATAAGGGACACAGCCACCAGTCTTTTGCTTGACAAGCTGTAAAAATGCAATCAACAAGAATTTTCAAAATATGCAAAAAAATATATCAAAAGTTAATCAAAAGGTAGGTGAAAGGTCAATTTCACAGTAAGATTGCCAGTATATGACTTCCTATTCAACTTCAAAAGTAACTTTGGACCTATCTCTGCCAGTTTGGGAGATAAAAGGGAAGCAAAATTTGCAAAGTTCAGTTCATGGTGAAAAGTAGGTCAACAGTCAATTTCAAGGTCACATTAAGATTGCCAGTGTATGACTTCCTATTCCAGTTCAATAGTTACTATTGAACTTTTCTAGTTCAATAGTAACTATGGAACTATCTCTGCCAGTTTTGGATATGAAAGGGAAGCAAAATTTTCAAAGTTCAGTTCATGGTGAAAAGTAGGTCAAAGGTCAATTTTAAGGTCACATTAAGATTGCCAGTGTATGGCTTCCTATTCAACTTCAATAGTAACTATGGACCTATCTCTGCCAGTTTTGGAGATAAAAGGGAAGGGAAGGAAAATTTGCAAAGTTCAGTTCATGGTGAAAAGTAGGTCAAAGGTCAATTTCAAGGTCACATT